GTATTTTGTCTGTGATTGAGGAATATTTATTTGTGTTCTTACCTTTAACGCTAAAGTACAAAGGACGCCAATTTTACTGAAAAAAAATTTCCAAACCCCTAAAGACAAGGAAGCTTTTGCTGAAAACGATTTCACTTCCATGATTTTAGTGTAACACATTTATGTAATTTTTGGCAGTGTTTAAGCCCTCCTTCAGCATTTCTTACATATGCGTGTGTATGTGTTTACAGAGAAGTCTTTGCACTTACAAACGTGCTTGCCCATTTCATTGCTACCAATAAAATGACCCCCCCCCCCCCCCCCAACCATGTGAGACTTTGCTGTGCTCTGCTGCACACAATGCTTAACCGACAAAACAGCCATCTAATGGCAGCTCCCAGGGGGCTGCTCCTGAATTTGAGATCTCTTTTTGACACGATTGCACAAAAAATAAATAAATAAATTAGTAAAAACAGGAAACAGAGTAGCTCATGCATGTTGCATCTGCAGTGATATTAATGTCAATTTGCCTGACAGCGAACAGGTGAGCTCACACCGTTTGTGTTCACAAGGCCATTGACTGATCATAGAGCTTTTCTTAGTTCCTTCTCAGTACTTCCTTAAATGCCCTGACACGCTGATGCTCCCGATTTACCACTTCACTGAACCCTAACCATGACATTTCCTCTGCTGCCAGGGGTTGCTCCCTCCTGCTCGGCGTTCTGTCCCTATCTACCCCCCCCCCCCCCCCCCCCCCCCCCATCTCCCTCTTACTTATTCAGAGTCCCACTCCTCTCAGTTCGCTGCACGTCTCATAGCATCTCTAAATATAACCAGGCATGTCTATCTCTTCTCCTTCCTCTTTCTGCCTCCTCCTCATCTCGGTCCTGTCTGACAAATTTGAGCATGCCTAGACAATCAGATCCGATGTGATTTTACATAACAATTCAAGAATCTTCCACCTCATCGGCACTGCGAGGCCCAAAGGTGTGTTATTGTCATGGATGCAATTCTCAACATCCCTGTAGGACTCAAGCTCTGAATATTATTAGATCAGTGCAACCGGAGTCTTCATTTCTTGCATCCTGAGTGCAGGCGATGCGTTTCTAAGAGTCTGTGTGGCTTACAAAAGGAAGATCAGATGTGACCTTTGCATTATCATTGCACGCACACAACCAGGAAGCTTCATGCACACACGTACACAGAAGAGGATAGGAACCTTCTCACAGACGTAGGCAGGAAAAAACGGAGGCTGGAGTAAATCTTAAATAATAACCACAAAGAGTAATGACCCTTGTTGGCATTATGCCGTTGCACACCCTCCTCCTCTCGCCTGGTGATTTATTTCTCTTCTGCCAATAAAGCTCAACATGGAAATGTCACATGTGGGAAAGGGCTGGCCTCAGCCCCAGGAGTGAGCCCGTGCAGCATTAAGAGAGCACA